ATGTTGACAGCACAGACACATCTCATGAAATCACAGCTTGACAAGACGTGGGAGAGTGAAATGAGGGAAGGCCTTAGGCTTTTATAGAAAGAAATAGGGAATCGATATTTAATTACAGTAGAACTGCAGTGAAGCTCCATTATTGAAAACCTCTCATCAAGTTGATACAATATCTTTTATCAAAGGAAACCTAATGATAGAGCTATGTTGACCTACACACTCACCAATATTTCCCCACTTTATGGTCAAGAGGAAGAAAGATCAGAAAAAACAGACAAGGAATTAAGATATCTTTTAACTCCATTTCAGTTACCAAATCGTCATGAGTCTTCAAACTATTTGTGTGGCTCTCTCTCGGGCTCCTACCTAATGCAGAGCAATAGTTCTTTAACAGGATCAGAAAAAGGTTTCAAGAGCTGTGGATGGAATGCAGCAGGAAAGTCCTTTATGTTATAAGCAGTCCAACATTGTGTCCTGGTGATACTTACTTACTGTTCTGGAGAACACAGAAGATGAAAGAACCTTTCTGCATGAATACTTTATGATGACACCAAATTACCCTGTAGCTCTTGTGACATCAGCATTAGCCTGAGGGAGATGAATGGGAGTGTTGTGGTTTTCCTAATAATAAAACAAACCAAACCCATACCTGGGACACAGACGCTTCACAGAGACATCGCTGCCTTCCCCCAGGGGAGTGATGCATATTCTCTGGATGCTGTTTTACTGTTGCATAAAGCTGTATGAGGAAACAAACACTGGAAACAGTGACACGAATCCTCAGCTAAACCTGTGACAGTTGGGACATCTGGCAGATGGGGTTGAAGAGGATACAATTAAACAGAGCCAGAAACATCTAAGGATCCTCTACAAGGAAGCTCTGCTGTCGCTCATTTTCTCCAGGGAGCAGGTCAGAGCCCTCAGGTACAGGTGGAAGAGAGCAAGGGCCATGATCACATAGGTTAGAGGCACAAGCAACGCTAGTTCCCACCAGCCAAGCACGGTGAGAAAGGAAAGTGAGGGCAACTGGGGAAACTGGGAGGGTTAGAGCTTAGGCACCTCTTCTTGGAGGGACCGAGTATTATTTCCAGTTATTTCAGCAAAAACAAGTAAGGTTCTGTTCAACTAGCAACCAGTGGAGCATATGGAGCCCACCACTACCCTGACAGAGGGCTTGGACAGGGACAGAAACACTCCAGATTAAACAAGGCAGATGAGAGGAGGCTGTGAGCTAACTCAGATCCTGACAGCTCAACTCTAAGGGCAGCTGGGAAGGGAACAGCAGGCACCTATTCTCAACACCTACATGCAATAAGCTGAAGGTGATAACCTTCAGGATATAAATGTCTCAATAACAGAGGCTGCCACTTCACCCTAACTGTCTCAGACTAACTGTCTGAGAAGGACTGAATGTTTTGCCTGCACTAAGCCAGAGGTTATCTCCAGGAGAGGGCAGACACTTCAGCCATACCCACTTCAAGCATTACCAATTACGGATTTAAACAGACCTCACCTCACAAAGCTGACAAATCTACTACCTTCAGTATTAGTAAAGCCAGTACTGTGCTAGCCATGGAAATGAACTGTGCTCCACAAGACAAATATTCTATCCAGGCCTGTACAAAAGCCAGCTGGTAAACAAGAACAGCAAGATCAGTCCCCAGCATCTCTGAGTTTGCCAATCCAGCCCCTGTGAAACCGAGCTGCAACAGCAAGAGCTGTCCTGCAGAGCTCTGAACAGCCACCAGCCAGGAGCACCCTCATGTGACACACGCCTGCAGCTCTCAGGCAGTTAATCCCCTTGAAATGCAAGAGCTGCGTTTGTCACTGCAGCATGTCCCAGGCATGCGTGGACCTGGGCAAAATCCCTGAAGGTACCCCCTCTATCTGATGTGGCCAAGCTTCTGTTAGGTGCTCTGCAGTTCCAGCCTGAGTTTGTCTGAACTTTAAGACTGTGGTTTGTGGCTAGCACCTGAGAAAGAGGGGACAATCACTTCCAAGCATGTCCCAGAGGCAGCCTATGATACAGCACACCAGCATTAAGCCCTGCAGAAAAATCATGTCCAGATGAGGCCAGAAAAACTGAGAAGATAGGAGAGAGCTGGACATAGAACACGCCACCACCGCTGAACACTTCATGTTTCTTGTACCAAAGGTAATGCTTGGTTTCTGTCTATGCTTCTGGGTTAAGACCACAATACCTGGCATACCATACCTGGCTAGTCCTCCTCGGCAGGCATTAAAGGTTTTCTACAGGTGGAATAGCAGTTTCGCCCACAGTGCCCATCCTACAGTGCAGTTGAGAGCATGCTTCCACCTCCACTTGGGAAACAGATTACAAACCCTGGCTGTGCAAGATCGTCCTGCAGCACAGGGTTTCCAGAAGAATGGTAACATGCTGCTTGGTGCAAAAGATATAGGCCAGTTGTCAGCCCTACTCTCATTTCAACCCTTACCCCTCAGCTCTGTCCATTCCCTATTCTTCTCCCATCAAGTCTTTTCTGATTATCCCTTTTGCAAAGGTCATCTACTTCTGCAACAACTGAAAGAACGATTGATTTCATTCTGGCTGCAGTAGGATCTGTTCTATCAGAATACATACAAACACTTATCTTTTCCCCCCACCTAGTACCTATTTTGAAGATACCTTTCTAACTGCCCTCCATCATTCAACACTGGAACAGGAAGGCCTGTGAGGCAGGAAAGGCACTTGCAGAGCACCCTGAACATTGTAGCACCACAATTCTAGTGGTACTGCAATTCTTAATAAAGAATACTTCCTCTGTTGCAGGCAGCAAGAGCATTTTTCATTCTGGCTACTATTCATTAAACTCTTTATACATCAGTTTCAACACTCAGGTCTCCTCCACAGATCCCAGTAGCAAAGCTTGCTCCTTCCAAGAACAGGTCTGCCATGGGCCATCAAACCATCCAGTGCCAGATTTTGGATGGAAGAGGTGTGACTATAAAGCAGCCCACCTTGCAGTGTCGACTTTAAGTTCTCTTAACTTAATCAGTTGTAGACATCAGGCTCAGTAGTTCTTCCTCTTGTTGAGCTGTGCAGTAAACCAACTTGACCTCACACAGACCCAGAGAAAGGCTCTGGCTAACCTGCATCCTGCACCTGATTTTCCATCTATTGTCAGGCAAAACCTTACAGAACCCTATCCACCCACATCTCTCCCAAGGCAAAGGGTGGATTTAGAGGCTGCAGGCACGCCCTACGCATGTTCTCCTCCCACAGCTCTCCCAAAGCACAGCATGGAGTCACAGCTTGCCAGCCCTGTGTATTCTTTACTTCTCCTCCAGCACTGCCTGTTCAGCACTGTTCCCTGGTTTCATCTTCCCAAACAGAGATCCTCACCTATAATAAACCATTATGAACACTACAGTGCTTCCCATGGGGGTTGGTTCTGCTGGACCACTTGGGCAGCAGCAGGTTGTCCTGTGCAGAATCAGACTTCTGACCGAGCAAGGAGCAGAACACACCACCACTCACTGACTTTATGCTGCAGTTGCTGCAAGTCTCTCCTCACACATTTATCAATTTGTCACAATAGTTTTTCACTGCTTAAAGAAAGTGGCAAAAGTTACATTTTCCTCTGGTTCCCTGCACCAGCCCTGGATCTACAAAGGTCTTAGCACTGACCTCATTTATTTCTTGTGGACTGTTGGCATTGGGACACAAATGAGATGTGCAATCTCCATGCTGTTGGGAAGCACTTACTCACTATAGCATTCATCTTTCAACTCCTCTGTCCTTGTCAAGAACTCCAGGCTGCTTTACAATCACTGAGCATCCTTCCTCTGTAACAGCAAACAGGACAGGCAGGAGGTGTTAAGGTCCTAGCATAGCTCTTCATTTGCTGGGACAAAAGGAATAAGAATAGGATCAAGGAACACTCAGTAAGATGGTTTTAAGGTTCAGTCCCATACCAATCCCCGACAGTGACAGAGTAGCCCAAGAATTCCCCTCTGCCACTATGTGATATGCTCAGCAGACCACAGGAACCGTGTCTTCCTGGACCACTATATTCAGACAGAAAAACAGGCAAGATGCCCATTAAAAATACATGTATTTGACCTAACCACCCTCAGAGGCTTCCTAGACAAGAAATTATCTGTGTGCGAGGCTCCTGTAGCCATCAGTGCTTCAGTTCCAGGGCCTTTACCTTCACTGCCTTCTAGCCTCCTGATCTGCTCCTGCTGGAGCTCTTTCTCCTGCTTTAGTCAATTCACAGATGAGTGAGTGATCCAGAGAGCTGAGCAGATGGACAAAACCAGATTTGGTATGAGAACAACTCCAGGAAAGAACACAGCCAGCAGGCTGGTTCAACTTCGGGAGCTGGGAACACAGGGAGACACGGAGAGAACAAACCTTAAGTCTTACAAGGGATGCTTCTGCCTCCTCCTGCAGAGGAGCGTAAGAAACAAGTCTTGGGGTTATAGAAGATACAAGGGAACTCCACAAAGAAAGAGGTTTGCATATCTGAGGTAGTTGTGACCTCAAGAACTTGCAGGTCTGGTGCTCTGACACTTCATAAAACTCAGGATTAATGGCTGGAGAACGTTGCTCAAGAACCATAAAGATGATGTTAAGTAGCTTTGGTAAGGAAATCCAATCTGAGGCTTGGTCTCCAACATAGCAAATGTGTTGGCAGAGAACAGGGAAGCAGCAAAGAGCACGTACCTTCGGGTGGGGAAAGAGAAAGGATTATCACCAGAGACCTTGCTACCTGCCTTAGTGAGCGGCTCCTACCCACAGAGGAAGGTGAGGCTTGCAAGCTGCACACAACGGAGCTCAAACACGCACAGTACAGATCAAACCAACCGCGGTTACCAGGGGCTGTGAAGCGGGAGCACACCCGGCCCCGCCACTGCCAAACCCGCCTCAGCGACCGCCTCAGCCGGGGGGGGGGGGGGGAGGACGCGCACTACAGCTTCCAGAATGCCTTGCGCCGTCTCCTAGGAGACGCGGCGGTGTGGTTGGCGGAGGGGCCACACTCCCCCCGCCGCGCCTCCCGTGGTGCCCCGCGCGGCATGGAGCGGCGCGTGGCGGAGCGGCTCCGCGGCGCCCTGAACCCCTTCGGCTTCGAGGTGCACGCCTTCAAGGTACTGACGTCACGGGGGGGGGCGCCGTGACGTCACGCGCCGTGACGTCGATCGGGGAGGTGTGCTTATTGCTTGGCCCCCCTTGGAGGGGAGGAGGCGGTGGGGGCCGGTGACCGCTGCGGCCGCCGACGGAGGTGCGAGAGCCTTTGGTTCCCCCCCGTCACTCCCGCTGGAGGCACTGCACCGCTGTCGGCGGCCGCTTGTCCTCGGGGGGGTCCGGGGCTGGCCGTGCTTGGTCGCCGGGCCCCCAGTCCGCCCTCCAGGCCGGCCGGACGACACACCCCCCTGCGCTAACGGCGGCGGTGCTTGCCTGCTCCTCGCGCAGCCGGCAGCAGGCGGCACTGCCTCTCCGGGCCTCAGCCGTTCTCCCCTCCGTTTAGGCTTCAAGCCAACGCCTGACCACCCCCCGTCCCAACGGCTTCGCACTCTCCTCCTCAGGCCTGGGGAGGGGAGGGCGAGGGGTTCAGAGCCCTGCTCTAGGCGGTCCCGGTCTGGCACAGCGGTTCCAAGGCTCTGGAGCCATGTTGCGCGGCGGATGGCGCAGGTTAATGGACAAGCGTGAAGGCCTGTTCTGCCCGTGCGGGGAAGCGGGTCAAGGTTAAGGCCGTGGCTTGGTGGCAGCGGAGCGCCAGCCGGGCTCGGGGGTTGCGCGGGTCCTTTATGTTGGTCCCAGTGTGATAAGGTCGAGAGAATTAAAGATATATCTGGACCAGCAGAGAGTAAAGTCCTCTAAGCAAGCTTGAACTTTAAACGTAGAAACACGTGTACTGAAAGTGCAGAGTGCCTCATCGTGGTAAGTGGCTGCTTACACAGCAGGCAGCCTCTTCCACTATCTCTGTGTTGAATTGTATTCCCTCAGCTCCCACCAAACCTTGGGGGTTCCTTCTTTGCCCACGACAGGCGCAATCTGCAGTAAATCACCAGTCTGCAATATCAAATACAAATCGACAGTCAAATATAGATTGGTACAATAAACATGACCTTCCCTTCCTTAGGGAATGTTGCATTTGTCACCTGAAATAGTCGTATTTCCGACTACATTCTTGATCTGACAGTTGAAGGGAATGAGGCACTGAGAGCAGTGAAATCTCCAGAATTTGAAGAATCTAACACTGCTTTCCCAAAACACAGAAGCAGAATTAGGGGCAGAACCCGGATCAGAAAGACTACAGCTACCAGAGGGAAACCTTATAGTGCTGTGTCTCTTCCCAGGTTTAATTTTCATACCTCCTGCCCTGATACACTGACTGTTGTACACTGGGAAATCAGCAAACCCTAGATTCTCGCCTGTGTACTTTCTTGTAACATCTTGATTCAGCATCTGAAACAAGAGCTACAAAACTGATTAAACTTTGGGTCTGATACAAGAATGTATCTTCATCTTAAACTTAGTTTTCAACCTGTGTTTCCGTGTGGGCAGGCCTGGCAGCCAGTGTCACCTGCAAAGTCACTTTCAGATTCCTTTCTGAAATATTACTATTTAGAGGTGACCAGTATTTTGTGTTTTCAGACTAAATAGTAAGAGTTCTGTTACTTGACATCTCTCTGAACGTTAGTCCTGGTCTTTATGGCATCCCAGGAGAGTGGGAGTTGTACTAACCCCTAAAAAGACTGATGTTATTGTGCAGCACATTAGTAGTGGGGTGCAGGGGGATTCAGCCATTTCCACCCCCTGCTGGTAGTTGCTGGTCTCAGGCCTGTCCTCTTGCTCTTGTTGCTGCTCCGGTGTGATCCCTGATTTCTGGACTGTGTTATAACACATCCAGCCCTGAAACAAACACCAAAATGTGTGTGTGTCACAATCCATGCACTACAGCTGATGGTTCTGGCAGGTTTTAGCATTGCTAGGAGCTTCACATCCTTCATTTTCACACATCAACATTTCCTGCTGAAGAAATAAACCATGCAACTTGTCACATGAGCAGAAGTACCAGCTTCTTTCTGGCTGAAGATGTGAAAAAAAAAACAAACCCAAACCCAACCCGTAAAAGCTTTATCTAAACCAAAACACTTGATTTGCAGTGGCAAAACTGGTTGCTGCTACTTCCCTCTAGGGTTTCTGAGCAGCAGAGCTGGATAAAGGGCAGCCTTGAGCTGAATGCAGTAGATGATTTTTATCTCTCACGCACACCTCACAGGGCAGTTTCCAGAAACTCCGAATCCCATATGCAAAACAACTTGGTTTGAATGGAAGGCAGCAGACAGGCTGCATATTCAGGTTGCAAATGAAGGTGGCTACACTTCATTCCACTTCTTTAAATTCCTGCATGCCCAGTAGCCAAGAGTGGCGCCTCTGTTCTAATGGAGATTTGTTTTTCTTTGCCAAAGGTTGGATGGTACAATGCTGTTGTGCAGCCCGCCTTTCATCTTCCCTACCCAGATGACACACTGGCCTTCGTGGTACTCAGCACACCTTCAATGTTTGAAAAAGCCCTTAAACCTTTTGTGAACAAAGAACGGTTAAAAATAATCCGGGATCCTGTGGATCAGTGTGTTTCTTATCATTTGTCATGTTTGAAGGAGGTAAGAACCTGAAACATTGATTCCTTTTACTATTGTTGTATGTAACTGGGTGAGTTGAGCAGCAGACAATGCCTTCCAGGTTTCTGCACATGCTCTTTAGAAGGGTAAAGCATTACTCATGATTGTAAGAGCATCCACAGGCTGTTGACCTGCTTTACTTACATATTCTGTCTCTTTGCCGTTACAACCTGTAGCAATGTAGAGTGCTTTACAGTCATAGTTTGAAAACCCAAGGCCACAAGCTGATAGGTTTCATTAGCAGGATGTCTGGAGCATTCACAGGTGCCTGATTTGCTAGCATCCAGCAAGTAGTGGCAAATCTTTTTCCATGAGCCTGGGCTGACTGTTGGTTTTAATTTTCCCAGAAATTCTCTGACCAGACAGTGGACATCATGTTTGATTATGAGCTTCTGCCAAACCGAAAGCCAAAGTTCTTGGCTCAGACAGCTGCCCACGTTTCTGGAGCTGCGTATTACTACCAAAGGAAGGATGTGAAGCTTGATCCTTGGGGGGAAAAGGTGAGGCAAAAAACACAGCCTGGGAAGAACCACTAAACTGCAGTCACTGAATCATACAACTATTGTTTACTCACTAGTTCTTCCCATTGGAAAATACAAAGTCCAGATTACATATAGATGCATGAAGTGTTTCAGACAGGAATCAGAAGCTTCCAGGATTCTTCAGGGTAGTGGGGAGATGCATACATGGAGAAAAATACCTTGAGCTATGAAAACTTCTTAGACAAGAGATTTCAGTGTAAAAGAAAACCTGTTGCTTGGAGCATTATAAATAGAAAAAAAAAAATTGCACCATATTTAATTTCTTTGTTAGATTTCCAAAAAGGTTACTCTCCCCACAGTGCAGGGTGGTGTGAGCATGGGAAAATGGGAATGAAATGCAATGCTTTGAGCCACATGTTCAGGAATTCCTTTCTTCTCTGTGTGGCACCCCAACAGAGGGCAAGAGTGTAAGAAGCTGCATTGCAACTTGATCCGTTGAACTCTAACCATTACTAGAGGTAAAGTAAGACATCCCAGATCCTTCTTTTTTTTCTTCCAGAAGATCTTTGGTGTATGTATCCATCCCAGGTATGGTGGCTGGTTTGCTATCCGAGGTCTTCTCCTGTTCCCAGATATTCAGGTACCATTCCTGGAGCAGCGTGCCCCGGTTGACTGTGTGAGCACAGAGGAGCAAAGAATTGAGTTGCTGGAGCAATTCAATTTCCACTGGCAGGACACTCGCTACCGGGACATAATTGAAGTGAGGGAAAAGTATTCAGAGGAACAGAAAGCCTACTTTGCCACCCCTCCAGCAGAGAGATTCAAACTGCTAGGGCTGACCCAGGAAGTCCACAGAAGCATATTTCACTGAGTAACACAGTTCTATGAAGGGACAGAGGGCAAGTGGAGTATAACTCATCAGCACCTTCTTTTCCATGGTGCTGACGAAGACAATACGCTGATACAGAGGTGGCAAATCCAAGCAGTGTGTGCAGTGTCTCAATCCAAACATCAGCTCCTCAGAGTAAGAGGGAGCGCTGCCATCGTGGCACTTGTGGTCTGGAGGAAGGTGGGAGCAGTCTGTGCTGTTGCTGATTTGCTGTGTCTGTTTGGGAGTCCGGCAAGATGCCGATGAGCCATTGGTTGGGAAAAGTTCAGCCACCCTGGCAGCTGGAAAACTCATGCTGCTCATTAGAGAAGTCATTCTTATTCTGAAGAATTTTCTTTCCAAATGTTTTGGGTTTATTCTATGTACAAGTAAAATTTCAGTCGTTTGTACTCCAGAATGTTTTGCCTGACCTCAGGGCAGGTACTTTTTTAGATGTATCCTGCGTTTTATTCCCCTGTGTCATAACTCTCCCTAGGGAGTAAGTGTCCAGTATTTTCAATATTGCCTTCCTCAGAAGGGAAATTTGAGCTGCATTCCTTCACTTCCAGTGAAGCTGGCTGAAGAACTCTTAATGTCTCCTTTCCTTAACATCCAAAAGAAAATTCTCCAGAGATTGTTTTGTTGAGTAGTGTGGTCCTGCACATGGAGCAGGAGTGAGGAAAACAGAAAACAGAGCCGACAGCTACCTCCTTCAGGGTAGTTACGAAAGGGAACAGGACAGTACAAAGGTCACAGCTCAAGCCTGCCATTTCCTCTTGGCCGAGGGTCAGCTCCTCAGAACAAGGTGATGTCTTTAGGTCAATTTTAATCCATTGTATAGAGCAGCCAACTAACATCTTCAGCAAGATGCTGAATATTGGTTTTATTCATGTTACAATAACTGACTGAAAAAGACAGTTCTCATGACCTTTTCCTAAGGTATATGAGGTTTACATTTAAGGTACAAGCTACACACACTACAGTTTTACTACCATGGCTTCCTGTTGTGCTTTCTGTATGGGGGAGGTAAACCTGCACACACATAAAAACCATTGCACAAATGTTTGAATGTGTTACAGGTTTGCCTGTCACGTACACAGGCAAACAAGCAGAGAGAAGAAAAGAGAAAATATTCATGACATTCATGTGACATATTGTTTTCAGACAGAAACATAATTTTTTTTCATTATTTTCTCCTGTTAGATTTGTCCAGAGGTTACAACATACTGGGAATCAGCAATTTAATTTATCTGAGGGTACTTTGAGGCTCAGGCCTCACTGAAATAATATAATAAAGTAAAATAGTATTTTGTGAGAGTTTTGTTACTTGACTAGAGTGCAGTGCTGCAAACTCTTAAGTACTTTTTCCCTGCCTATCAGCATGATGAAGTAAAAATACTCTGCAGAACTGAGCCCTTTCGTTTTATTTTACATTGTTATTCTTGGTGCCTTTTGGAGACTCAAACACTAAGATTGCCTTCACACTAAGTCACTGCTTGATACACTTTTTCATAGTCTGTATATTAACTAAGCACAATCTAAATTCAGTGTAATAAGGTTGTTTTCCTGTAAACACAGTAGTGAACTGGATTTGTTCAGTGTATTTGCTGTTACAGAAACATCTCTGTTGGTTTCCATGCCTTGTTCACATCTGACTAAGGCAGACACCTTATTTACTGTGCGGTAGTGATACTGTGATTTTTTATTTAAGCAAAATAAGGAAATTTGTATAAATTCTGTTCTTATGTTATAGAATTACTTCTGGTTAAAGTGTTGCTTGAACTTTCAGACCTTTCCAATTGAACTGTAATTAAACAGGGACTTGAATTAATGGTTCATATTAATAACATAAACAAAACACTGATTCTCTTAGAAGGATAAATACAGAAAGGAATCAGATTTATCTTTTTACATTTCAATTTAAAGTAAAATATTTTGCTGGTTTGGGGTTGATTTCTTACAAATATTTAAGTCTGTCTTATTTGTTTGGGGTTTTTTAATCAGGTTGCTGTTGCCATTTCATTTCAATTTTTGTAATTTATTTCTCTTCACATGGTATTTTGGTTAATAAAATATACAAAGTTGTAAGTAGCCCTCTGTTACTATTTTTATTTAAACAATGCAGTGATTAGCTTGCAGAGAGCTAAAGATTAAGCGACAATCAATTAAGTTTTTAATATACTGAAAACGTGAGCTACCTAAGACACACAAAATCCAGTATCTGAAAACAAAAGAAAAAGTTAGTTATCTTGGTGGAAATTAGTAAACTATTATGGCAGGCTCACAGAATCACAGAATGGTTTGGGTCGGAAAGGACCTTAAGATCATCCAGTTCCAACCCCCTGCCATGGGGAGGGACACCTCACACTAGACCATGTTGCCCAAGGCTCTGTCCAACCTGGCCTTGACCACCTCCAGGGATGGAGCATTTACCACTTCTTTGGGCAATCCATTCCAGTGCCTCACCACCCTCACAGTAAAGAACTTCTTCCTTAGATCTAACCTGAACTTCCCCTGTTTAAGTTTGAACCCTTTACCCCTTGTCCTATCACTACAGTCCCTGATGAAGAGTCCCTCCCCAGCATCCCTATAGCCCCCCTTCAGATACTGGAAAGCTGCTATGAGGTCTCCATGCAGCCTTCTCTTCTTCAGGCTGAACAGCCCCAGCTTTCTGAGCTTGGGATATAACAAAAAGTAAAACATACAGCACATCATGACTAAGTCTAATAAATTTTTATATTTGCCAGGTCGTTTCAGAAAGCACATGACAATGCACTTTCATATTTTCCTCTGTTCCTGCAGTAACAAAAGTTCAAGGTGTCCAGTGATGCATAACTGATATTTGAGGGATTTTCCCTCAGGAACTTAAAAGTAATACCTGTAAGTATGGGAATTCTTATTTATTAAACATATTAATGAATACTGAGTCACAGGAAGGGCAAATGTGTGTTCTTTGTGCTTCTGGCAATATAGTTAGGCAGAACGAAGTACAAGTATTTAATAACATTTCCATTCCTACTACAGTAATTTTGGTGTGAACTGGATTGGTTCTTACTGCCTTTCTCTTAGATTCGTTACTGAGACCCACAGCTGCAGCTGGTAATTTTCTGTCTTTGCTGGTTGGAGTGTATAATGGTCTTTGTCTTTTAAAACTGAAGTTTGAGAACCTGTTTGACTTATCTCTTGGGACAAGACTAGACATGGTGAGGAACAGATCATTCTTGGATCCTGGGGCATTGCGAAGGCATTCTTATTTTCAGCACTTAGAAATGTCAAACAAGTAATACAAGCAATTGCAAATACTTGGATAGATTTACTTGTTCATGGATCACCTTTTATGTTTTTGGACAAGTAAGTTGTTTATCCAAATCCTAATTTTTACACATATTAAAGTATCTTTTTTCCTCAATATAACCAAAAGTGAGTATTCAAGAACTGAATAGTAAAAAAAAACCCCAAACTTAAATTAAAAGCTACTTTAATTTGAATTAAGTTTTAGCTACAAAATACTCAGTATATTTCAAGCTAATAAATATTCAAGAATTAACAAATTTGTAATGTTTTTTGTGCACATGACATCATTCATCTTCAATTAAAATTTCCTGTGTTTTGGCTTCATTAAAACAACATTTTTGTTAAGATTAAAGGTATGACAGAAAATACTGATCAGATGCAAAGCATGGTCTAGTCTGGTGATGAGCAGCCATCAGGGTTATTACTCAGAAATGGAAAAACACTTGAAAAAATGCTGGTTTGATTTTTTTTCTTTTGTGCCAGTTAAATCAGTTACATCTCAGCGGTACAAGAATAAGCACTGATGTTTCTTTAGGGTATGAAATTGAGTTTGGCAAACTTAATTCCCAATATGGCCTTATTTCCTTCTTCTATAAAAAGGGTGTCTTGTAACAATCCTGGCTTTGTCTAAACGATGAAAGACTGAAGATGGTTTGCTTGTATAAATCAGTAGCGGTGTGTCAGAACTAGCCAATCTTATGACAGCAGAGCACTCTTCTGTTTTGACATTGGGTTTTGTTTTGGATTTTTTCAGGGCTAGATTGTTCTCTGGCTCAGAAGCATAATTTTACTCATTCAGTGTAGTACATGTGGTCTTATATTCATTTGTGAACAAAATTATTGGTGGTGTAGCTACTATTTAACATAGGTTATATTACTGAAAATGCAGTGACTTGAATTTGATTATAAAGAAAAAAAGTGAGTAAATACTCCTGTATTTCTAAACCCAAGAAGTGGCAGCTACTGATCAGCACCTCTGTGGTTATCAGCACTCTCTTCAGCCCCATGCAAAGAATACATGTAAAAAGTTACCTTTGAATACTGACATAAGTGGCAAGAACTGCAAAGTTGTTCTTCTAAGGGGAAGTGAGATTTGCCATCTACTGCAGCAGAGAGCCAGCTGCCCCTCTGCAACCTCAACTGTCACTAATTCATCTACTAAAATGAACGTGGGTATTAATGAGACTTTTCTTGCTGTAAAGTTGGCTTCATGTCATATCATATATCCTGTGAGAGATCATTACGTTTGCTTCAGAGCACTTCCCTTCTATGTTTTCAAGGAGGAAACAGAAACAACCAAGGAACACAAACATACTTTTCTCTCTGTGACTGAAACAACAGACAGATGTTCACATTCCTTAGAAAAAACAGTCATTTAGATGAAAAAATAGGTGCTTTTTTTTTTTTCAAATAACTGAAACACAACAATGGGAAATATGGTGGGAAACTTCAAAAAATGAAATATGCTATCACAGCATAAGCAATAAGATATTTTACTGGAATTCTAAAATCTCTCCGCTATTCTACCACAATCTGCAAAATGTAACTATTTATGTATAAAATTATTTGGAATGGCTACTTCCTGAAAAAAATCAAACACATAACTATCATTCATTAATATTACATCTATAATACATTTCATATTTTTGTTGATGTTTGTACATAATTAAGTGAGCAAGCAAATTTATTTTTAGTAACCCCATATGTTTTATTTCTCCCAAACAGTTCCTACAGGAAATTTTGAAAGAGAGCTTGAACTTTTTCTGATTTTTAAGATAGTAGAATTCCTGCAAGTAAATTAAAGAGAGGATGGGGTGGATTTGGGAGGTTGAAAAATACCCTACAGAATCTTAAATGTATGCAGAATCCTTACTTTTTCTATGAATGCATAAAACCTCTTATTCCTTGCAAAGGAATTAGCTACTTCTAGGTTTTAATTTCATGTCAGAACCATTTTTCCAGTCTTGTTCTGACCAGCCAATCTTTTTTTAACAGGCTTTTCTGTATAAAAGACTACAGCAATAAAAATGACTAAGAAAATCACCTTATTTTTGTGAACACTAAATTTCATGGAATACAATAATTTTTAATTACATTTTTTTAATAAGTGTAGATTAAAGATTTCTCTCTTGATGAAGGACATCACTCTTCTTTGTCAGTGCAGATACCTCAAAAGTATGGTGCTTTAGAACATGGAACACAAAACTCCTGAGCTCACAGTTTCAGAGGACAGCACAATCTTAGTGACTTCACATATATTCGTATATCTATGGTCAAGTGGTATCTCGCACAGGAAGACTAAATTGAGACACGTGTCCTGTAATACGCACAATGATTTAAGTTTCAGTTGAAAGAGCCAAGTTTCACATTAAAGTCCAAACCTATCATCACTAGGTGTGGCGAGAGGAGCTTACACAGGCACATCTGTTCTAGAGAACTGCAAACAATTTAAAGCACGATGGCAACCTGTTCTCTGCAGCCACATAAGCATGTGCAGCATAGATTAGTTCATTATGCAGGTGTTTGATTTGTACAGGCTTTGGCCTGCAAAACCATGCTGTAATATCATACTCCTATGTTCTGTGACGTGTTTGAATTACACCAACATTACAGGTGAAGACACTGACTAGTGACTTGATAGAAACACAGACATGTGAACAGCCAAAGTAAAATCAGTTCTGGCTGTATGTTAAATGCAAATTAATCTGGGTTTCTTTTATCTTCTAGTATTAAAAATAGAAGCTTATATATTAATGATCAAAATAATACCTATCTCTTTGACTGCCTAGTGCAGTGCTCTGTGTGTACAATTAATTTGTATCCAAAAAAGACACTGACAGCTTTAACACACTTTCTGAATTGATGTATAAGTGTAATATGTTCCTACTAGTACAGGCTAGACAGAACCACCAGTCTGTGGCTTCAGACCACTCTTCTGCACTTACTTCATTTCACCCTTGGCAAAGTAGAACCATGATGTTTCTGTCTTGAGCCCTCTATGCTTTATCTGTCTAGCAAGATACTTCAGAATATATATTTACGCATTTTGTCCTCTAATATTGAACACCAGACCCACTGAAAATTTCAGAGGATATACGTAATATTTTTCCAACTATTAATATGATAAACCCCGTTAACTTTAGCAAAATCTTTACATGACTGTTGCTTTGATGTATAACATTACAAAAAAGTACAGCCATGGAGCTTTTGTCAACATGCTTTCCTAACCAAAGTGCATCATTTTGCAATACCTGTTAAGTGTAAACTACTTGCTTTTGTTCTTTGAACTGTATAGATCTGTTGGGTAATCCAACTTGCTCTTCAAAGGCCCGATAAAAAGGCTGGAGCACTTAAGAAAATAGTACTTTTTAAATTTAGTAACAGTTTGGAGTATTTTTCAAAGCCAGTGAGAAACCTGGTTTGTAACCATGTTAATTCTTTAAATATGACTAAGCATTCCTGTTCTTATAAACATCTAGAAATAAATACACAATCATTAATTTTGAAATAGCATTGTGCTAGTTTTGACTGGGATAGAGTTAATTTTCTTCAGAGCAGCTGGCATGGGGCTGTTTTAGATTTGTGCTGGGAACAGTGGATAACACAGGGATGTTTTTGTTAAGTGCTGAGCAGTGCTTACAGAGTCAAAACCTTTTCTGCTCCTCACCCCATGAGTGAGTAGGCTGGGGGTGCACAAGAAGGGATCCGTGCTGGAGCAGTCTATTCCTGAAGGACTGCATCCATGGAAGGCACCCACACTGGAGCAGTTTGTGAAGAGCTGCAGGATGGACTCATGTTGGAGAAGTTTGTGAAGAACTGGCTCCTGGGGTAGGCACCCCACACTGGAGCAGGGGAAGAGTGTGAGGAGTCTTCCCCTTGATGGAGAAAGGAGCCATTCCCTATTCCTTGATGCTGCTGGAGAAGAGAGAAAGTAAAGAATTTGGGAGTAAAGTTAAACCTGAGAAGAAGGGAGGAGTGTGGAGAAGACGTCTTAACATTATGTTTTTATTTCTCATTATCCTACTCTGATTTGATTGGTAACAAATTAAGCTATTACCTCCCCCCCCAAGATGAGTGTTTTGCCTGTGACAATGTGTGAATAATCTTCCCCTGTCCTTCTCCCATACAAATAATTTTTCAGAGATTATCTTAAGACTGAAACTTCATATGCTTGTAAAATTTTCCCATGCTCGTAAAACGCTCTTTAGCAAAGCAGCAAGCCAGTTTTACAACCCCCCAGTAATCACAGCAATCAGCTACAAATAAAGACAACTATGAAAGAGGCACTGTAAGATGTATGTTTCCCTTCACCTGACTGTTCTGAGATATAAAGAAACCAGTGAATACAAGATTGTATTTATAATAAGCAGCCAAAATGGGAAATAAGAAAGATGAAATTACTCACACGTTAAAAAAGGGCAAACCAGACTCGAGATTCCATCCTTTCTAAATGGCATCTGCTGTGTACACCTTCAGGGAAAATCCCAGTAAGCAGGACAGGACACTGCAACAGCTACCTGTCTTGCTACCAAAACTGAGTGTTGCTGATGTGTTTTTACTGGGAAATATGACACCATTGATCATGAAATCAAAACCAATTCATAACTGTAATGAAAATGGTACATGAAAAAGTGTTTCTTAATGAGGATAAGAGTTATTTGAATGTCAAAGAACACCAATCTAAGATGTTACAATACCAGGAGTGAGGTGTACCCTAGAACACTTACTGGAAATTCCAAGTTACATCTGAGCTAAGTTTAAGCAAAGAAATAAACCCAGGCTCTTCTTGATCTGTATAAGTGGTAAGCGTTACCCATACTGCGTGTTACACTACTCTTGGAAACATTAAAATGACAATTTCACAAATGTTCCCATGAATTCCTCACATGCCTGAAGAATAAACAAAACTCTAAAAATATTTAATTGCATCAATTCCCACAATCATTTGGTGTAAACATGTAAGACAGTTCCTAACTCACAGGTGGTTTGACTCTTGGCTGTTTGAATTTCCATATTATCATAGAATAGCTTGGGTTGGAAAGGAACTTAAGATCATCCTGTTCCAACCCCCCTGCCATGGGCAGGGACACCTCACACTAAACCATCTCACCCAAGGCTCTGTCCAACCTGGCCTTGGACACTGCCAGGGATGGAGCATTCACAACTTCCCTGGGCAACCCATTCCAGTGCCTCACCACCCTTACAGTAAAGAACTTCCTCCTTATACCCAATCTAAACTTCCCCTGTTTAAGTTTTAACCTGTTACCCCTTGTCCTATCACTGCAGTCCCTAATGAAGAGTCCCTCCCCAGCATCCCTATAGCCCCCCTTCAGATACTGGAAGGCTGCTATGAGGTCTCCACGCAGCCTTCTCTTCTCCAGGCTGAACAGCACCAACTTCCTCAGCCTGTCTTCATACGGGAGGTGCTGCAGCCCCCTGATCATCCTCATGGCCTCCTCTGGACTTGTTGCAACAGTTCCATGTCCTTTTTATGCTGAGGACACCAGAACTCCACACAATACTCCACCAGTCACTATGATATTTAAGTACATACCATGAGTAGTGTCTCTGTGGTCCAACTCGCAGTGGACAGCAGCTGTCCAGTTATAAGTGCAAGGTTTTTCTCAGTCACAGAAGTTTTCCTCAATTAATAGCTATTTAAGTAGTGATCAAGATCAACCACTTCTCAGAACAGAAGAATTAGCACATGAACACAACTATGACTACTGGCATATTTAAAAGGTGGGAGGTGTTAAAAATACATTGTTGAACATTAGACATCACTCAAAGCAGGAGTGCAGCTGTGTTAGCAAGGAGGGTGAACACCAAACCTGTCAGAAGTTGAGTCTCCACATGACCATTACTCAAAGGAAACACCTCACCTCACCTCACCGAACTCGCTGCATCAGAGGCGCGGGTCAGACAAACGAGGACAACAGCTATTCTGACCGGCTCCCGGATCTCCCATCGCGGCAATCCCGGCCTCTTCCCGGCCGCAGCCACGCCGCGGAGGCCGCTGGACACCGCTGCTCCCGCCGGGGGGCGGCCCGGGCACTGTGTGAGGCGAGGCTCCGCCCGCAGCCAACCGGCGGCCTCCGTTGGGAAAGCGCGGGAGGCAGCGGCGGCAGGAAGGGCCCGCTGTGGTGAGGAGCGGCGGGCGGACCCAGGGCCGGGGACAAGCACGGCGGGGCTCGCTCTGGCTTCTGGGAAGGAGGTCCAAGTCCAGAGAACCCCTTCACCCCTACAGCACGGGCAGGCAGGAGAGCGGCCAGTAACTCTATTCCTTTTAAATGCACTGGTTTTAGCATCTGAGGAGTGAATACAGTAAAGGGTTTGAGAAGGGGTTTCTATCATAGCGAAGGCCTGAACTTCATCATTAAAGTAGAAGCCCTCAGTTTGGCACAGAACAGCCTTATTTGCTATGCTATCAGGAGTTAGGAGGACATCATGCAGCATTTCTCTGTGTGTGTATATATATATAAAATAGCCAAATTAGAACAGGTGCAATTTTTCTAAGAGCAGAAGTTACTTTAGTTACACCAAAGACTCCCCATTCCACAAGCTATGAACACACTAATACTGTACACCCTCTAAACTGCTGTAATCAATTTTATAACATTTCAATGCTAATAGAGCCAGACATGACTCACGTACATTTTACATTAGATTAGCACTGATTTTACTCCTTTTCATTTGCTAGGAAAGAAGGTCACCATATAATAGTTAGGGTTGGAAAGGACCTTTAGATCATCTAGTTCCAATCAAACTGGTCAGTATTCATTCACTTACCTTGAACCCTATACAAACACTCTTGTTACTTCTCAATGCCACCCTACAGCGTTACCCTCATTTGTAATCTTGATGAGAATTTTGAATTTAAACACTAAAGCAAAAAGTTATCCAACTAAGCACAACTTTCATATAGCTTCAGATTTGTGGTACTTAAGCAAGACCCAGGGGATTAGCTACTGTAGTGTTTATTGCAATACTCCCCAGCAAGGCTTCTGCAATGAGTACTTCTAACTGCAGAAGGCATGCGACTTTCACTTCTGACTCACGTTGAGTTGCCCTGGGCCTCAACTTCATTACTGCTCACTTTAAGCAGGACAGAACTTGTTTACTGCTTGAGGAGCTGAAGTTATATGCAAGATCTCAGGCTTTAAGAGTTTGATCTTTACAGGTACATCAAGATCACAGGGTTCTATGTGATCGAATTCACTTCCATTACTAGGCAATAGCTCCTCACCCAAATCCCCAGCTCTGAAGTTCAGGACTTTATTCAGGCCACCTTTACCCAGGAAGCTACACAGCTTTAATGTAACTTAAGGCCACAGTCATGTGCTTTTCGGTTTACATTATGCACACTTTTGTAACACAAAGATAAAAGACAAGGCTGAGCACACCCAAGTGCCAGATTTTATAGCGCTGCCCTTCTTTTGATCTTAATCATACAACTACAAGCTAATGGGTAACTGGCATATTCTCACTTCCATGTAGTGGGAAAGACTAAGGACAAGTGCTGTATATCCAAGGAAGCTTGCTTTCAGAAAGGCCAGTCTTCCACTTCTGTGAAGTGTTGAAACTGAGTACTGATGCCCAGAAATTTAGCATAAATAGTCACAGTTCTGACCTGTGTTTTAGAAATTACCAAATTGACACAGAACATGAAAAATATGGCCAGCCTTTGTTAGTCACCTCTACGCTCCATGCCCTGGGAACTGTAGTATTGCTTAACTGTGACAGATCAAATCATGCTCCACTACTTAGTAGCAAAGTTGTGGCAAGTGTAAAGAGTACTTTACTACTGCAACATGAAAACCATCAATATCCCCATTCTAATAGAGCTGTAAAAGGCCTCTAGAATTGAGATATCTACAGACAGCTCAGCAGACCAAACTTTCAGAAGTTTAGCCTGCATTGCTTTCAGGTCTCCTGATGATGATACATAAGAACAGTAGACAGTATGCTCTTTCCACAAGTTTAATAGAGTTACAAAAGGATACCACTGCTCTATATGCAACACATGTCTAACCACATACACTGCATTGTCACTAAAGTCATTAGGGCTTAATGTACAGATACTGATCATTAAGATTTTCTGTGAAGGTACTGTCAACAGGACAAACTTTCCTTCAAGTAAAAAAAAAAGTTACTGCTTATACCTATAGGATGATCCCTTGACTCAGATGCAATGACTTAGTCAAAGTTCAGTAACTGATGCTTGCTCTTTACATAAGGCATACTAGTTTCCATGCAGACTGGAGGTTTATTTCTGCTTGGAGAAATACTCTTTACTTTTGTGAACATCAGGCTTGATTGTGTCACTGCCAGGCTTCCAGCCAGCTGGGCACACTGAAATGATAAGAATGTTTTAAGTCTTACCAGCTGCTCCCCCAGAACATGTTTTTTACATAACATTAAAGCGAACTAGCAACTCAAAACATGTATATGCCTATGCAACATACAGAAGGTGAATTATTCAGTGTAGCAATATGTTAAATTCATTTTACTCATTTACATTTGTTTACTAGGTAGTAGCACGTAAGGAACTTTGTGTTTGACCACGGAACAGAGGGCCCTTTATGCATACACCCGTCCCCACCCTGCTTAAAAGCTTCACAGAAGCTTGACAGCAAGGTCACACCAACTCCAGCAGCCTCGATGAGAAAGGCTTTATAAGGATTACAGTTTACTTCTCTGCTCAGATCCAGTCAAGTCTATATTCTCCTCATCTTTAAGTCAACCTTAGTTACATCCTCCAGTTTAAAGGGGAGGGGGAGGAAAAGTTAAACTCTAGTTCCCCTATATGGCTATCAAAACGCTACCAAGATGAAAAGGTTGCATGGCCTAAAAACTGCAGTATTTTTTGGACATGGTCTTCCTCATCTACAGCCATGCAAAGCAAAATGCTTGCTCCACACACAACCAGCAGTCTTAACTATAGTATTGTCAGCTTTTGAAAGTTGCTCCACACCTTATTCTGGTCTATCCTGGTTTAGACGAGACTGCAGTACTAGTTCTGGAAGAAAATTTGCCAGCTTTTGGCTACTCCAGGGCACAGTCAATCCCCAAAGGCTTCGCTTGCATGACATGTGACTACTCCACCATCAAATATTAGGGACATGTCCTCAGCTGACAGAGGATGGCATACAAATGAAACACTGAATCTCTTCAGGCTAGCACCTAGCCACAATTACAGCTCATTTTAATAAAACCTGTCACTGATGTACCAGTTCTGAAGCAAGCTACATGTGACCAGCAGTCACATGTACTGTACATTAACCAGTGACAGCTAAAGACTGCTAACACCTGCACAGCAATTTTGAGTTTCCATAACCTTTCAAAACTTTCATCTGCAGTGCCCTTTTTTTTTTAAAGCCTGCAGAAAAGCTACCAGCCTGAAGCACATTATCATTCCTGAACTATGGGCACAAAGACTCCATTTTCCCCTCATCTATCTTCCCCTCACTATACTGTGTTCATGCGTAGCAGGGCCAAAAGTCAGCAGGCTTTCTGGGAATTTGGAGACCTTGTCTAACACTGCATAAAACTTTGCATTAGTATTAATGGTCTCAACTTACCAAATCTGAGAGGAAAGCCTAAATTATGCTTACCCTTGCAGCTTAATTATTACATGTTCTTAATTTCCATCTCAAGTATTTTATGTATCTAACTGAAAGGGATACAACTACTATGTGCTCAGCAAGCCACCCAGCACCAAACTGAGTTAAATGGTATTTCAGCACAATTAAGTGGAAATTAAGGACAATTAAGTGGAAAAAGACAGAGCACTATGGTGTCCTTCAACAAGCAGCTTTACAGAACCAGCGCCATTTCAGACTGATTGCTACATGTACTTAATACCTGCGATTAATACATGTACTGCATACCTTTCTGCAAACCTTGATTTAACCTGCTTTGCTAATACTGTGCTCTAGAAAAACACACTCAAGATTAGAAAGAGGAAGAACTCTTACCTTCTCCATGCTTATCTGTAAACTGGAAGGCCTGGACAAGCCTGAGGGTTTCATCAACAGAACGGCCAACAGGAAGATCATTGATTGTTATCTGCCTCAAGATCCCCTTCTCATCAATTATGAACAGGCCCCTAAAAAAAAAAAACAACAAAAAACAAACCACAAATAAAAAACAAAACAGCCCCAAAGTTAAACACAGCTTCTAAAAGACTGAAGCTCAGTATTCTATTATGGCAGTAAGTTGTGACATCTGTATTACTAACCTCTTCCTAAAAACTAAAGCCTTTGGTGTATGCATAGCACAGGAACATTAGCAGCTGAAAGCCTAACATTCAGCAGAAACAGGAGCCAAGTCAAAACACTTAGGCAGGAAAACAGTGCTTCCTATTTAAGGAAGATACAAGCAGAGAAACAAAGTGGAAGAGAAGCCCAAGGAAAAAAGTGAAGGAGAGGCATTCTTATATACAAAGAAAAGCTACACACACTGTTCTCAAAAACCCAACCCAGCAATGGCTCATCATTTATTCCTCCAAGGTCATGTT